CAGCAGGAACATCTTTGAGCTGCCTGCTGACTTTCTGTTCTGCTTCTGCACCGTGTAGTGCAATGGGATCTCAAAATTGGAGTCTCGAGGTGGCAAAGTGATAGCAATAATATGTCCACTGTGGTTTTTAGTGCTATGTGTTCTATTGTACAGCCTTCTTTCCAAAGCCTATCTACGGAGGAGGTACTCAGCAACTTGTTTTGGTTAGGTCGTTTTTTGGTTAACTGATGGGGCAGACAGTTATGCATGAAGAAGGTATTTTGCATATAGTGCTTACACGGGAGGTAGGTCCAGTGTTTAAAAAAAAGCAGGCCATTTAAAATTTGTGCCTTTTTAAAAAAATCTCTTCACAGAATTTTCCGTCGTGAGATCTTTGACCACATGATCTGTCCTCTGGCAACTGGCTAGAGCTCTGGAGAGGACGGAGAGTGTAAAATAACACCACAAAGGGACTGTCTACTGTGTGGTTTGTGACTCATCTACAGAGCATCTTCTAGATGGTGGATTTGGCATGAGGTACTAAAAGAAATGGGCTGTTTAGACTAGATCCACTCATAGCACCTTTCTTGGAGGACAAACGTGATCTGTTGATACCTACAGTGCAACCTCACTGATACAGAGGAGGGCAAAAATGGAACTGGAGTTTAATGTAGACCAGCATTGCGTTTCTGTTCCTGGTTACCTTTGCTGGGTAGCTGCTTGTCAAAGCAGCAAACAGCTTAAGAGTTCCCACAAAGCAGATGCAGGGATACCACGAAGAAGTCTGTGTGCCCTAAAGCGCAAAGGAAGCCAACAGCATCACCTCTTCCTCCTGAGGAGGAAACTCTTCAGGTGGGCTGAAATTCTCCTTCAAAGAGGCCCAGATACCCAGTCAATAAAACTTTTGTACTTGAAATGGGTCTTGGCTGGTGACTTTCTAAGGCTGTAGCGTCTGTGTTTCTGCTTTGCAGACGTCCTGTGAGTCTGGTTCTAGGAGCAGGATCTCATGGTGGTAGGTACTGTACAAATGTAACAAACAGATGGTCGCTCTTCTTGTGTGAAGTTGTTTGTTCTTTTAATTCCATCTGTGTTTTTTTTTAGTATAAGGAACTGCAGTGTTAAGATTTGACACCTTTAAACTGTTCTTGTGAGCATGTTCATTGTTCCAATCAGTATTCATCACCAGGCTCCCTCTTGTAGTTATGCGTGATTGCTTTGAGATTTAATTTCAAAGAAAATGCTGCTTCTGCTCTGTAACGGAAGCAGCAGTGGCCGGCTGTGCCGTCCTGCATCCCTGAACGTGCTCTCTGAAAGTAGGTCTGCTTTGGCAGAGATGCTGCTTAGTATGAGTTATAATAGTCTGCTCCCTAAGCCTCTCTTGACTCATGTAACAAACAGTACAAGTGGTTCCTACTTCAGAAACTTGAATATTCAAGCTTGGAACTGCTGAGTTTTCCCAAAATCTCAGCTGTTCGTCTTGGATAGAGTCCTATTTAGGGACACCTGGGCACTTACTGAACCTGTCTTCCTCAACTCAGGCTTTCTGTTTATACCCAGTCAAAGCGTTCCTTGCAAGCTTTGCACTTCATAAGACGCTCTCCTGGCTTGCAAAGCGCCACAAGAAATGATTAGCAAATGCAAGGCAAAGCGAGAACGTAATTTGTCGTAACCACACACATTATTTGTTAACTTGTTATGAAAAGAGCTCCTTAATTAAAAATTGGCCTTCGGGAAGATATTTACTGGTGTGTTTATGCCAGTATGACTTCCCTTGTGGAAACTTTTATTCTAGGATAATTATCCAAAGGTGCTTTATAAGGATATTGTAAGAGCTGTAACAGTTTCTGGTGAAACGTCCCCGCAGATGCAGTCTCTTAGCTGCCTGTGATCCTCTGAGAGCGTGGAGCTGCTCTGACCTGGAGGTCTCTTGAATCAGCAGTGACGTTTGGGATAACGTGCTGAAACGCAAACTCGGTGCTCTCCTCGCAGATCTCTTGGGACAGGTGTCGAGTGTGTCTGTGGGTAACGCAGGATGTGGAGCAGCAGTTTTGATGGGGACAGAAGTACTGTATTTTATCTCCAGCAAGTGATTTTCATGCTTCCTTCTATAAGAGCTCTGATCCCCCTTAAAAACGGGAAGAAATCATGCCTTTCTGTAACTTGTGTGCAGTCGGTGACTGCTGTTGTGTGCCCTTAACTTCATTTCTGTAACGCTCGAGTTGTGGCTGTTAGGTAAGAGGAACCTTTGGCGGAGAGCGAGGTTCCTGTCACACCCCCTCGCGCTATTTCGGTGCCTGTGGTTCCACCCCCAGCGAGGGGGGATGTAAAGCCCAGGCGCTTGCACAGCTTTTGGTGCCTGCTCGATCTGTATGAAGAGGAAACTGCTGTTAAGCAGGGCAGAGCGGAGAGCACGGTCACGTGGCTGGCAGACGCCTGTTCCCCTCTCTTGCTCCCTGGAGAGATGAAATAAAAATGGTTGTTTTAAGCGGTGAAGGGGGGGGAAAGGGCTTTGCAAAGGGGCTCGAGATTGTGCCGGTGGCTGAGAGCCGAGCTCCTTGTGCTGCGGTGACCGGGGAGGAGCGCGCCCGGCCGCGCCGGGGGAGTCGCAGCAGATGGCTGCCGCGACCCCCTCCGCGGGAGG